CACTAATTACAAATTATGTTTCTTTTTTTCTCCTCTTTTTTTATTGACTTCATTTAGATAATCCCAGAAATAAGAATTTGTATTTAGATATATGTGTATATTTAGGTGCATAACATGATTTATTGATTAGTAATTCAGATAACTGGTACAAGATAAGTTAAGTATATAACATGATTTATTGATTAGTAATTCAGATAACTGATACAAGATAAGTTAAGCACATGACATGATTTATTGATTAGTAGTCCAGATAACTGATACAAAATAAATTAAAGTTTTTTTTTCCTGAATCCTTTTTTAGTATCCCATATTCGTAGATTTTAACGATATTTTAAACTTAACAATATACGATAAATGTTTTGTACAAAAGAAATTCTACCACAGAATCCTGCCCCTAACGGGAAATTTAGGGTAAGCGAACGAAAAATTCTGTTCGATATTTTCATTATTAATAATGAGATATCTTGAAACAATCTTCTGGCAGTTATTTAAGATAACAATGCATATATATATTGATTTGTGATAAGAAGCAATCAATATTTACATTTTTCATTCACATTATATTCTCAATTTTCTGATATATCTCGGGAATTTTGGAAAAAATACGAAGATATTTGTATACAATTATTTCAATTTTTGAATTCCCAAAAGGAAAAGAAATAAAAAATTGTATATTTACTCATTTTGCAAACATTAAAGCATCAATTCTCTTTCTTTTTCTCCTCCTTCTTCTCTCTCCTTTTCCCTCTTTCTCTTCCCTCTCTTTCTCTCTCTCTCTTTCAATCATTTTAAATTAGCATGAAATTTTTTTTCGAATTTTTCCGAAATTAGCGTGACATTTTTTCTTTTTTTTTTTTGTTCACTTCAAATTTAATCAGTAAAATAAAATGATTGAATGTTGTTAAAAGATGAAGAAAACATATGTTACTTAAATACAGCACTCTTTGTCGCCTTCTATGACATGTCATCGGAGATAAGCATCAAAAAAGGCCGAAACTAATTGATGGTGATATTTTCAAGGCTCATACCGATCAAATCATTTGACCCGTTTACTTCCCTCATTCATACCATTGTATTTTTATCTGAACTTTCTCTTCTCTAAAACTTTATGCCATTTACCATTTGTTAATTTTTTGTTTTTTTACCAAAACTTTTTCATCAATTTTCATTTTTAAATTTTTAAAAAAAAAAATTTGCACGGAACTATTTTTTTGATAGTTTTAATTTTCAGTTATGCTTTTTTCTTTTTTTTTGTTTTCTAGCAGCTTTCTAAAATCATTTTGTTGAATTTTTTTTTTCAATTTTTTCTCTTATCAGTTTTCTCTTACAAAATATTTCATAATTTGTAAATGGTTATTTCTAAAAATCTAAAATAGTATTTGAAATATATTTTGTTATAATCAAAGTAATATTTGAAATATATCCTTTCAAATCTAAAATAGAATTTGAAATACATTCCTTCAAACCTGAAATAGAATTCGAAATGCATTTCGTTAAATTTAACATAGAATTTGAAAAATTTCTTGACGAAATGAAGGAAAAATTGAAAAATTTTTCTCTTTAAATAAAAGAATGAAAATAAATTCGTAGAATAGAAATAAATTTTTTGTAGAATGTCGATAAAATGGAATGAAAATAAATTTGGAAATGGCAAATATTTCCTTTTAAATCAATAATTTTCATCCATTCTATTAGTATTTTTTGTTTTAATTACAATTTTGTCGATAAATAATTGTTATAATTTCTTGATCGATATGAAATTTAAATATTTATAATTTATATATTTCAAAAATTTATGCAAAATTTTTGAATTCCACTTGTTCCATTTTGCGTATGCAATTAAAACAAACTTATATCATTTTTAAAAATTGGGCAATTTTGATTAAATGTGATAAGTTGATTAAATGATGATAAAATTTAACTTCCCAATAAATATAATGTCGAGGAAAAAATAATCTACTTCACTCATATTGCTTAATTTTTCACCTCAAGTTTATGATAGAGAAAGAGAGAGAGAGAGAGGGAAGTGAAAGGAGAAGGTATGAAAAACAATCGAAAGGTCAAGGTCAAAGGTCGAAGATGTGGTTTAGATTCATTAAGAAACAAACTGAGAAATAATAGCTCGGATCAATTCATCCATTGTAAGAGATCGTTGAAAGAATGGAGAAAGAGAGAGAAGAAAAAGGAGATGTGAAAAACAATCGAAGGGTCAAGGTCAAAGGTCAGAGATATAGTCTGGATTTTTTATGAAACAAACTGAGCAGTAATAGCTCGGACTGATTCATCCAGTATGAGAGGTCGTTGAAAGAATGGAGAAAGAGAGAAAAGAGAAAGGAGATGTGAAAAACAATCGAAAGACCAAGGTCAAAGGTCAGAGATATAGCCTGGATTTTTTATGAAACAAACTGATCAATAATAACTTGGATTGATTCATCCAGTATGAGAGGTCGTTAAAAGAATGGTCAAGAAGAGTCGACTTTTCCTTTTAACTTTACTTCAGCTAATTTCAATTTTCTTTTTTTAAACCATACTTTTCGGAACACTCAATTTTTTTCCCTAACTTAAGAAACTCAAAAATAATTCTTCCGAAAACTTTTTTCCTCTGTCAACTTGTTTAATCAAAATCTATGATTCATATCAATTTAAAATTCAAAACTTATTTTTACCTTTCCCATTTCTATCCATTTAATTCCGTTTTTTTCACTAATATTTTTTCCACCTGCGCAATTGTCTAATACATTTGTCAATTTCTATCCATCTAATTCCATTTTTCATATTCTGCACAATCGTCTAATACATTTTGTCTAATACAATTGTCTAATACATAGAAATTTATTCTATCTTTTCCATTTCTATCCATCTAATTCCATTTTTCACAATGTATTTTCGATTTGCGCAATTGTCTGATTTTGCGCAATTGTCTGATCTACTTTTTTTTCCTTTTTTTGAAATTCTTTTCATGGATTTTCATTCACTTTTCAATTCTTCCCTTTCACTTTTTCTTTGCATCAAATTGAAATCGAAAATGTAGAAAAGAAGAAAAAAAAAAATTTTGGCGCCTAATTTTGATAGATTTTAATCAGTTGAAAGCGTATTTATACCATAGCTTACATGATTGGCTGTGAAATTAATTTTGAAAACTTTTGAGGGTCAATTGAGAAAGAATTTGAAATTTCATGCTATGATATTAACAGATAGTGGAAATGGAGAGTCTGTGGGTGGTGCCTGTCAATTTGATGAAAATTGAAATTCGTCATTTAACGACAAATTTTCAAAATTGGAGGGATTGAGGGTTTTACCTTTTACGTTGCCACACATCATTCGATCTTCCCGCCGATACAATTGATTTTGATCATATAAATTTAGCTCGTAAAAATTTGAACTGGATATTTTTCGTGGGGAGAGAGAGGGGGGATGAGAAAAAAAAAAAGGATCAATATATCGGTCAAACAGATTTCAAATTCTATGATTTTACCGTAATTTTAAATTGTATTAATTTAATCCAATTAATGAACAACAATCTCATTCCATTTTAATGATGATATGAAATGAAATTTTGATAATTTTTCAAACTTACAATCAATTTCTAAAATTTAAAATTTCTTTTTTCATTTCATATTTAAATTGAAATAATGAATGAATTATTTATATCATCGAAAGCGAATATAATTGATAAGTTTACAATATTGATTGTCATTACTGCGTTTTTCATCCTTTTTTTTTTTCATTCTTTCAAAATACTAAACGAATATATAAAATATTTGCAATACTTTTTATGGTTAATTATTTATTTGACATTTCATAATGTTATTTTGTCAAATGTCAAATATTACTTTGATAATTCACCTATTTTATATAGTATTGTGTAAGTTATTTTTTTTTTTTAACCTATTACTTTTATAAATATCGTTTAAAAAGTT